TAAAGGCGGCAGGGTGCTGATGGACAGACAGACAGAGCAGAGAGGTCAGGGGCTGGCAAGGTCTAGAACAGCTTTGGTGGGAGTAGCCGGAGGAGAGAGCTGGTTGTGGTTAGACAGATGGATGATCTAGAACATGACACGATCAAGGGTGATTCTGTGGGCCAGGATAACAAACAGTGTGGAGGTGAAAGGCATTGTATAGGAATAGATTCAGGAGTAAAGATGGATTTTCTTTCTTTCTTTCTTTCTTTCTTTCTTTCTTTCTTTCTTTCTTCCTTCCTTCCTTCCTTCCTTCCTTCTTTCTTTCTTTCTTTCTTTCTTTGTTTCTTTCTTTCTTTCTTCTTTCGTTCTTTCTTTTCTTTATAGAGACACACAGAGATGGGGTGGGGGGTGGGGACAGGCAGAGACACAGGCAGAGGGAGAAGCAGGCTCCATGCAAGGAGGAACTCGATCCCGGGTCTCCAGGATCAGGCCCTGGGCTGCAGGCGGCGCTAAACCGCTGCACCACCGGGGCTGCCCAAAGATGGATTTTCTTCACCAAAGCTGATTTGTCTTGGCCGACTGGAGGTCTAGCACACCTCTCAAAATGAGCTCAGATCATAAGTAGTGTTTTGTTTTCACTTCTCAGTTGCATTCTATCCATAAATCTAGACCCGCTAGTACTTGCTACACTCGAATCTACCTAGCAGTCACACTTGAGGAAATCATGCAGAAAAGAATGGAAACATTTCTGAAGGCTACAAATGGATATGGACCATTGTGTGCTCATTGACTTGAGGGTAGAGCTACGGAAAATGTGGCAGCCTAGACTTTATAATAGTCCTTTTGTAAACAAACACCCACTTGGCCCATTTACACCGATACTTTGACTTGCACCAAACAGGGCCATATCAATTTCTCCTGTATTTTATTTTCAGTTCCAGGGAAGGAGGAGATACTCCCCGGGGGATTTTAAACAAATCTAGGAAGAGGCCTGAAAGTCATCTCCTCCAGCTGACCTTTGGTGTGGAACTGTTTGGTATCCTCTCTGTGTGGTTGGTTGCCTTGTCCATTCCTGGAAAAGTATAGCTTTCAATCCCAGTCTTTAATTCTTAATCCGGCCCTCTGTGTGTTACTCAAAATTCCTGGGATGCCACTAGAGAGAGGGGCTGGGGTGGGGGGAAACCCACCCCACCTCTGTCCAACTTGGAATGACAGTCATGTTCCGCTGTCCCTTACATTGAATAAAAGCTCTCCTTTCATCCCCTGCCTGCAGTTTGGCCCTTTCGGTTTTCAGGGATGAGCTTGCATCCTTTTGCATGCAGAAACATCTTTGGGAATTCCAGCGAGACCTCTTCTAGTGCATTTTCCCTTCCTCAAGCTACATAGTCCCCTTTACTTCAGCACTCTTCCCTCTTCTTACCCACTGACGCCTACACGCTGTCCCCCTTCTCTTCTAGCAGGTACGTCTAGATAGCCTTCTCAGCTTTGCCAACCCACCCCCCTTCAGTTTTCTCTGAAAGTGGGAAGAGGGAAGTGTAAGCTCTACCAGGAGGTAGGCTTTCGGCCTCTGGAGGACTGCGCTCAGGTTCCCTCTACTACCCACCTGGGACAATCTCACACTGTCGACCATATCAATGCGGGATATAGGAGGATCCTTTTGCAACCTCTAATGTATATCCAGAGCCCCAAACCACCCGCAGAATGCCAGAAGTGGGACTGAACCCGACACAATCTAAGCCAATGCTTGCTATGCAGAAAAGAAGTTGAGGTAGAGCAGTATTATACTTGTCCAGATCATGGCAATCGGCAGGGGATTCAAATCTAGGTCCTCTCTCCCGAATCTGATCCTCTTTGTTTATCAAATTCCCTGGGGACAGTATCTCGTTTTCTTCTCCCTAAATTTCCGTGCCAGAATAATCTTTCAGCTCAGTTCCACGTATTAGTGCTGCGAATCTTCATTTCCCAAACTGCAGGAGCTTCACAAGAACACAAAGTGGATGCAAAAATTAATCTGTTATTGGGTGACATGGATCATAGCAAATACAAAGTGGGTGAAAACACACAAAAAGTAAAGCCTTGGAGTGTTTACAGCCTTATGACATTCATCAGGCTGCGGCCAAAATTGGACAGGACAGAGCGTCATAAATCCCGGGGCTGGAAGGGGCGAGCAGGGAGAGAAGCAGTGAGGCGGCACTGATGCCTCCAGCCACATTCATCACCTGCACCTCCCAGCGGCTCTGGCGACAGCACCGTGTGTTCAGAAGCAGTAGGTCTCCCTGAGCTCTCTGCAGGCCTGACATACGCTACTGATACTCAATAATTAAAGGTGCTCGCAGGGCCAGCTAAGCCCCTCCTCACTGAAACAAGGTTATAATGAATCTGGATTTTCAAAGATGCAATGGAAAAAAAATCCCTGAAGAGCTGGCAGGGAGAGAGATAGAATTGACCTCTTTTCCTCCAACGACAATGGAAAACCTAATCCTCCATCTCCTGGCTGAGAATGAAGAGTGCTCCCACAGAGAGGTACACGAAACAGGCCGTGAAAATGATCTGGGGAACGAACTGGGAAAATCAATAACTTCGTGGAAGACTCTAGGTCAGATTCTGAGACGGCTCCAGCACCAACCTCCTGAGCTGTCCTTGAGGAACAAAACAATATTGTTTTGCAATATTGCAAAACATCGGCCTAGAGGTCAAGATGTCCTCATCTTTTAATATACTCACAAACCACCCCTGGGGGTCTGTGGCTTTGGGCCTGCTGGTCTTCTGCTGCTGGCCTGGGGTCTTGGCTGCTCTCTGTGCAGGTTTAAAATTCTCAGTGATACCAGGAGGGCTTCATGGATCTCCCTGAGGGCCGAGCTGCACTCTCATGGCCAGGCCAGCCTCAGCCTGCAGGGGTAAAAAGCCAAGCTCTTGCTGACTGGAGTGATACCAGCAGGCTATGCAGTGTCCCTGCAGCTTCACATCGTGGTGGCCCTTGCTGACCTGCCTCCATTGCTCTTATCTCTCTTCCATTCTGAAACATTTCTTATTAAGAGTCCCAAGCCATCGGGTTACCAGATGGGCAGCATGGATCTGGGGATAAAGGTACATTCTAGCACATGAAATGCTCTAAAATTTAAAAAATTAAATTAAATTTAAAAATAGTTAAAATTTATTCATTTTAATCTTCTGTTTTTCCTTTGCCCAACATACAGACACAGACACTTTCTAAGTTCTTGGCCTAAATGTCTCTTTTTTCCATAAGGGAGTCCTTGTTTCTTCTTTGCTCTTGAGTTATTATGTTCAAATGCTCTAATCCATCCAAGTGCAACCATTTCAAGCCTCTATAGAGTCATCTTTTTTGAAATAATACTATCAGATATAGTTATATTATGTCATGTATACAGTGGTTATAGTTCATATTTATGTCATATTAGTGCATACCTTATTAAATATAGTGCGCTGAGTATTACTCCCATTTCACAGATGAGGACATTGAGGTTCAAAGAGGTTAAGTAACTCAGTAAGGGTTGGAGGGGGAACATACACCCTGGTCTAATCTGAAGCACAAGCTTTTCCCCCTGAATCACTCCAAGAATTGTATCTAAACTTTCACTTATAAATCAAATGTTGGGGCACCTAGTGGCTCAGCGGTTGAGCATCTGCCTTTGGCTCAGGGTGTGATCCCGGGGTCCTGGGATCGAGTCCCGCCTCGGGCTCCCTGCATGGAGCCTGCTTCTCCCTCTGCCTGTGTCTCTGCCTCTCTCTCTGTGTGTCTGTCATAAATAAATAAATAAATAAATAAATAAATAAATAAATAAATAAATAAATAATAAAATCTTAAAAAAAAAATCAAATGTCAACCATGACAAAGTGAGCCAGTAAAGAATGGGACTTAGAGGACCTTTAAAATCTCTTCCATGGCATGGTGGGGTGAATGATTCCAGTGGATGTTTGGAAATCTTTGACAGCTGACTGAATTCTTTATTTCTCCCCCAGATACTGTGGGCTGAGAAGAGAATGAGTCTGCCCCGTGTAGGACCTGGCTCTGCTCCCAGAGAACAGCACAGGGGCAGCTCTGCCCCGTTAAGCTTATGCCTGGCTCTCCTCTCTCATCACTGCAAGCTTGGTAGGTCTTGTCCTTATACCAGCGGAAAGGTCACACACGGAAAGGAGTGGGGTCATTTCCCCTGTGCACGGTGGAGGCCAGCAGCAGTTGGCATTGGGTATTTATAAACCCAGGTGTGTTACGCTCTGGTGAAATAGTTTTCCTTGAAGGAAGTTGTAAAGAACAGAGAGTTCTGGGTATCTTAAAAAAAAAAAAAAAAGTTACTTTCCTGCTCCCATTGCTGGAAGCACAAGAATTTTCTCTGTCTTCATAACAAGAACCTGGTAGGGTTCCTGGAGGTAGAACTCACGAAAGCATGGGGATCTCCCCTAGGATAGGGCCTCCAGGATTTTCAGTTCTTCGGCTATTCACTGAGCCTCCAGCCATTGGCAACGACAGTTTCAAGTGTTCCTGCCTGTACTGGTTCCAGCAACAGTGGCTTCAGCTCCTGGGCATTTGGCTCTGAGAAGCTGTGATTCTCTGTCTCTACCCCTCTGTCTCTCCAGTTTTCAGGGCAGCAGCTTGCCCTGTGACCCCATTTCTCTAATGGATCTAAGAAGAGTTGTTAGTTTTCAGTTTGTTCAGTTTTTTTCTTGTGAGAATGGCAGTTCAGCAACTTTTGTGTCAGATCAGAAAATGCCTTTGTGGGTCACGTGAGTAGCTCCATGGTTGAGCATCTGCCTTTGGCTTAGGTTGTGACCTGGGGGTCCTGGGATGGAGTCCCACGTCAGGTTCCCCACAGAGAGCCTACTTCTCCCTCTGCCTATATCTCTACCTCTCTCTCTGTGTGTCTCTCATGAATAAATAAATAAAATTTTTAAAAAATATGCCTTTGTGCACAGAGGAAGGAAGTGGAAAAAAATTAATGAAACTGCTCTTTGCCTTGGTTGGGGTTCAGAAAGCACAGACTGAGACAAGACCTTGGTGTGGGCGGTTAATGTGATCCCTGGGGCTGGAACAGTTGGGTAAGGTGAGTCAGAGAGATGAGAAAAGCCAGTGAATGGTGTGGCTCTAGCCTTCTGGTTTCCTGGCACTGGTCTGCAGTGGGAGTGGCAGGGTAAGGTGCTTTAGGGACCTTGCTTTAACACATCTTCACCACAGTCTTGGAACAGAGCCTGAATAGTTCTGACTCTGGTTTTAAGGCTGCCTGTATTGAAAAAGAGGAAGTACTGTCGAGAATGGGAGTCGGGGTTCTATCTGTAGGGGCTTCGGGATGGTCTGAGTTGGTCACTCTCCTTTCTGGGGCTCAGCCTCCTTCACGCTCATGGAAGGTCTTTCTACTGCAACTATCCAAATGGTTGTCTATGGAGGCAAACCCCAGCATTCCATGGGGACCATATAGGGCCTGAAGCCAAACAGGTTTTCAGGGAGAATGTGAAACAAGCCGCACCTTTGAAAACTTATGAGTTTTTGTTCAAGTTCTTTTGATTTTACACAGCTCTTCTGATTCTCTTTAAGAAGCCTATTTATTTATCTATTTATTTGTTTGTTTGTTTTTGCCCTTTTGGTGCCATCCTTGCTCTCTGGAATGGAGTCCTCAGTGGGCCTAGCCCTGAGCCTGAGCAGCAGCTGGCTCTGGGCTGCTGTCCTACTTCTTAGCTCACTTTTCACATGTAGCTGGCTATCGAGATGGTTGCTAGATGTGAGTCCTGGGGGAGCAGTGGCCTTGCCCAGGAAGGTCCACCGTGTGGGGACAGGGGTTATGTAACAGGAGGATGATAGGAATGAATGTGTATCTGGAATAGCTTGGAATATATCTGCGTATCTAGGAATGTGTGGTGATAGGAATGTACATCTCTGCCCAGTCTGAATTCTAAAGCGACGACTGTGCTCTCCAAGCCCTTATATGCACACTTATTTGTAGGTTTTTTTTTCCCTGTACTACCGTCTCTATGTATTTTCATTTTGTCATATTCCCAACATGTTTAAGAAAGGTTTTATGGTAACATAACAGAGAAACATGCAATGCTGTGACAGCAACAAGTAGCAAACCCTTCTATTTGCTTGCCAAGTGCTGATAGCTATTTTAAAACTCATTCAATACTCAGAACAACCCTGAGAGATAGGTGGTATTATTATAGCCACTTTTTAGATGGAGAAACCGAGGTATGGAGTAGTGGAGGGGCTTCCCCAGGCCGCCACGGTAGGGGGTGGAGGAACTGGGATGCACCCCCGGGCAGGCTGGCTCTGTGCTATGCTCTGTACTAAAAGGATAAGCCAAGAAAAGTGAGACAGGGAAGGTAAAGGTAGATGCTCCTTCACTGATCTGTCTTTCTTGATATCCTGAGAAGGATGAACAGATTATAGGTATTTAATGATGTGTCATCTGCTATTTTAAAGACAACTGTCTAATTCTGCTTTCCCTGTTGTAAGTAGTTGTGAGTAGTCATAATGTGCAGTATAGGGGCGGGGTGAGGAGAACCTGCTCCTTCTATTACATTCTGGGACAACGTGGTCTTAACGCCTTCCTTCTTCCCCTCCAGGTGACCCTTTGCTGAGAAGTAGTCATAAGTGGAGAAGTAGTCCTTCCTAGGATATACCCAGGAGCGCCAGCCTAGAGGGTGCAACCCTTAGAGGAGCAGCATGAAGACCCTCACTCAGGTTCCTCGAAATTTTTCCTTCTGTCTTCTGCTTGTTCTTCTACCATTAGTAACCCATTCCTTCTTTAGACAAGCCCACACTTTCAGGAGATTTAGTGTAGCCTCAGAGAAGTTTAAGGCCTGGCTCTGTCACTTATTAGGTCATCCTGGAGTCTGGGAGGTGAAGATGTCTGGTATCCCCAGCACAGCAGGCACTCAAATTGTAGTATTAATTTCTCCTTATTCTGAACCCCCAAGGCACGGTAAATGGACTTAGCTTAGGGGTCATCCAGTCTCATCGTTTCCCAGATCAACCACGTCCAAAAATTTCTGTATCTGTTCTGCATGTGCCTATAGAGTTTCTGCTAGTTGAAGAGATGTTTAAAAATATAAGTAAAATTATTGCTATTCTAGGGACTACATTTCTTTCTCCCTCTCTGTCTCTTTTTAATGTGAGGCTTGAACTCAAAACCTGGAGATCAAGACCTGAGCTGAGATCAAGACTCGGATGCTTAACTGAGCTGAGCCACCCAGGGGCCCTGGTACTACACTTCCTGTTTATTGTTTCCCTCCTTTAACCAAACCAAATCCCTCCAGCCCCTTCCACCCCTGAACTAGAGCAACTACAGAAATAAATTATCAAGTGGATGACTGCCATAAAGAGAAAAAATTAATTCCTAAGGGCTTTCCAGGCTTCTCTCAAATCCTGTGGGTCCAATTCCAAGCTCCTAAAATTATCTGGGTACACAAGAGTCTTCTACATCATCTGTGTAGACATAGGAGCCCTCAATGTGTAAAGTTAGAAAAGCAGAGAGTTTGTATAAAACAGAATATCCGGGGAGGGAGGGAAGAAGAGGAGCACGTGAAAGTCTAGAAAGCCAGAGAAGGTTTAGGCTGATCCTGTCTGGGACATGCTAACCCTAGTGGGGCTTCCAAGGACATAAGGTCCTGCTTGTTGTTCTCTCTCCTATTTGAGTTTAAAATCCAGAGGGACAGAGCTCACTTTCTAGAAGTGACTTGAAGGTCACCTGGTTCCGATCTCTCACCCTCTGAGTGGGAATTCTCTCTATCCTGTCTCTGAAAGAGGGCTCCCACACCTGCTTGCATCCTGCCCTGCAAGATAATTTACAAGGCAAGTGGCAGAGTTAAATAGCTTAATGTCCTGCCCCAGGACCCAGGAGATCTCACTAGACCTAACCACTGGGTCACGTTTCAAGATGGCCTTCCCACCCTGGCTCCAGAATGACAGCCTAGAACCTGAAATACCATCCTCAGCTTCTTCTCAGGGACGGAGGTGGAGAGAGACATCACAGGTTTTAGAGACATCACAGGTTTTAGAGCCCCACAGGCCTGGGTTCAAGTCTCACGAGCCTACACTGCGCAATGGCTGTGTGGCTTTGGGCAAGGCGACCCACTCCTCTGTGCTTTCACTTGCAGAAGACGAGGAATAATCCCCCCATGGGATGTGGTGAGGAGTCACGGGTGCCCGAGACAGCGTCGGACACAGGCTCCCCCAGCTGCCTTCACGTGTCTGCACAAGAGTGTGAGCATCTATGTGGGTGGAAACCACTGCTCAGGGGCATCTATCCCAGCGCTGAGCGTAGTGCTTTGCCTGGTGTAAACATAAGAGAAAAATAAAATCCCCAGGGCACTTCCAGGTGCCTCCAGAATCTAGAACAGAGAGCTCTGCTCTCAGATGCCTCTCGGCAAGGCCTGTGCACAAACTGGCAAAACTCTGCTGCCCTCTGTCTTCGAAACGAAAACCTGTTCTCTGGGCTCCAACACTGGAAAACGAAACTTAAGAGGACAGCGACGCATTTCAGGCTGAGAAACCGAAACTGATGTGGTTTTTGCTTTTTTTTTTCTTTCTTCCTTCCCCTCTTGCCGCTTGCTTGCCGAGTACAACCGAGCTCCCCACTAGGCATGGCTTCCCCGCCTCAAGGGAAGCAAACGGTGTCAGACGTCCGGACATGGGAGCAGACATTTCAAGAACTGATGCAGCAGGAGAAACCTCGGGCCAGGTGGACTCTGAAGCTGGATGGGAAACTCGAGCCAGATTGCCTTGCAGAAGGGTGGAAGCAGTACCAGCAAAAAGGATTTGGCAGGTGAGCCAGGGTTTGCCTCTTGGCAGGCCTTGTTGGGCACAGGGGGTCAAGCTCAGCAGCCATTGACTGCTTTTTTGGAGAGCTCCTTCTAGGAACAAATGTCACCAGGACCTCCATCCTTTCATGGTCACAGTGATCTTGTGGTTGGCAATGCCCTCCAACTTGCTTAGCTGGAGGGAGTTTCCTCTTTTGCTAGTTTTCCTCCCTAAATGTTTCTGGAAGTCCCCAAGGCTTGCTTCCATATTTCATAAATCTGCCCTCCCCATTCCCCACCACCTCCTGTTCCAGAGTGCCTCCATCCAGAGACTTCTGCTATTTCCACCCCCAGTCCAGACCGACAGCAGCCCTCCTGGTCCAGCCCCAGCCTGGGACCAGGCCCTTCCTTGAAAGCACCAAGACTTGGAGGGAGGCTACACAATCACTTTGACCCTGGCTTTGCTCAAAGCCTGGGGATAAGAGAGGGAATGATGCAACAAGCAAGACATCTAAAACCTAGATCCTGGAGTCCCTAAGTCACACCCTCCCCTCATGAGCGATCTTCCTCTTGAGCCTCCAGAGTCTGTATCTGCAGAGCCTGTGCTGGGGGTAAGGGTGGGGCGGTGGTGAGAAATGCTGACCTAGGCAACCGGGTCTCCTTTTAGGGGGCACACAGGGACCTTCACTCTACTTTCCACCTTACTTGTCCTGTTTTCCTCTCTGCCGCACCCTGACTCCATCTGTCCTCTGCTCCATCTTTTGGATTATGAACCGTGCTGGTGCGTTTTCAGACTTCTATTTCCTTATCATGACACTCTGCCTGTTTGGCAGGCCCTTTCCTCCCTCCCCTGTGCTCATCCTTCAAGGACCAGCTCAAGGGCCGCCTCCTCCTTAAAGCGTTCCCCGGTCTTCCGAGGCAGAGTAAGTGTTCGTTCTTCTACATTCCCATAGATAATGGGAATAAATATATGTATTTAAAAACAGTCTGCTTATCCCTTTATGACTCAGTTTCCTTATCTGGATATTGGGCTCAATAATGCCTACCTCGGAGGGGACCTTTAAAGATGAAGGGGGATAACACTGCAGCCCTTATTACAAGGCCTGCCTCAAAGTAGTTATTTTATATTTTTTTGTGTGATTATTAGGAGGTCCAAATTTGGCTGGCAGATGGCAAAAACACTTTTCCCTCTGAGACATCAGAGATATCTTACTAGCAAAGAGGTAAACTTCAGACCATGTAGGGTGGAAGCTCAGCAGATCACACAGGAAAAAGCTTTATCAGAAACACAATCCCCAGGTGCCAGGGTGGCTCAGTTGGTTAAGTGTCTGCCTTCAGCTCAGGTCATGATCCCAGAATCCTGGGATCAAACCCCACAACGGACCCCCTGCTTGACGGGGAGTCTGCTTCTCCCTCTATCCCTCCCCCACTGCTTGTCCTCTCTCTTTCTCAAATAAATAAATAAAAATTTTAAAACAAAAAACAAAACAAAACCCTCAAGCCTCCCAATCCCTCTCAGTCTTATTTGTCAATTTGTTAACATCATCTACACTTTTTTTAATTGGAAGAGATCTTAGAGATTGAAGCCAGACCCACCTCCTTCAGGTCCATGATCACCTGAAGGCACAACAGCCTCCTTCCTTCTGTCTGCAGGTTTCAGTGTTCCTCATGCCAGCGAAGTTGGGCTTCTGCTCAAGTGCTTATCTTATGTCACATGTACCTGGAGCACCAGAAGTCCCAGGGCCAGGTGATTATGCGGCTTTTTGCTCAGAGGTGCAAGAAGTGTTCCTGGTCTCGATTTGAGGATCCTGAGTTCTCCCCAGAGAGTACCATGAGGATTCTGAAAAATGTGGTGCGGCGTATTCTGGAGAAATTCTACGGGAATGGCTTTAGGAAGTTTCCAGAGCTACCCATCATCAAGGAGGTGCCTTTGGATGGGTCCCATGACACAATCAATTGTGAAGCATGTACTCTGGGCTACTGTTTACTGAGGTCACGAAACAACACAACAGAGCCATCAATACCGCCATTCTCCTGTACAGATAATAGGAGTTCCTCTTGTCACATCGGTGACGTGTCCAGCCAAAACCAGGAGTGTGGGAATTACTATGGCTCTAAGGGGTCAGGGCCCAGCCATACCACTACTGAGACCCAAGCACCTGGGGCAGGCACTCAGCCCAAAGGGGAGACTAGCAGACCACCCACCCCAATGGCAGACAGGCAGACCACCCAGGGTGATTCACAAACCACACAGGGAAATTCACAATTCACACAAGGGACAGCACAGTGGCAGACCACCCCAATGGCAGACAGGCAGACCACACAGGGTGATTCACAAGCCACACAGGTCCCCTGGAGGACATACTCTGAGGTTCTAAAGATGGCCCGCCAACAGTCTGCACAGCAGTCATGCTCACAAGCCACATGGAGGACAGACCCAAAGACCACGTCAGGGGCAATCCTAAGGTTTACATCAAGGTCACACACTCAGACTATACACAGAACAGCCCCCTCTACCCTAGGGTCAAACCTAAAGCTCACACAGAGGACAGCCAGGTTTGTGACCATCAGGGGAGCTCAAGCTGTCTGGGAAAGTTCATCCGGATTTTCTGTTCCAAACACCTGTCCCATACATTCTCGTTCAGTGCGACAAGAGGTTTTCTCTGACCCGGATGTGTTTTTCTACTTCTGTGTTATCTGTATTATTTTTTTCTTTACCTTTGCAAGCAAATACTTGGAAGCAGAAAGATCAAAATAAGCTTGTCTTCTTTTCTTTTGTCTTAATTACATGGTAAGCAATAAATTGGTTGCCATCTTGATATGACATAGAATGTGCTTTGAGACCAAGCAGGGTCAGGTTTGCTTGGTATTAAATGTTCTGTAACTAGAATAAACACTAGTTTACTAGTTTCCTAGATCTCCTTAGTGGATAGTCTAAAGCATAACCTAGCAAATAATTGACTTAATAATAAATATTTGTTGAATAACTAAAAGCTCTTCATTCATTCATGTACTCCTTCATTTCTATTATCTATCATCTATCTATCTATCTATCTATCTATCTATCTATCTATCTATGATATCTTGACATATGTTCACAAGAACTGAGGGTCATGAATGATATCAGGAAGTTATTGTGGTAGGTAAAATAATGGCCACCCCAAGATATCCATGTTCTAATTCCCAGAACCTGTGCATATGTTATTTTACATGGCAAAAAGGACTTTGTAGATGTGATTAATGTAAGGATCTTGAGATGAGGAGCCTATCCTGCTTTATCTGGATAGACCCAATGTAATCACAATAGTCCTTATAGGAGGGAGGCAAGAGTGTCAAAGTGGGCAAAAGGAAATTTAATGACGACAGCAGAGTTTGGAGTGATGGGCTTGGAAGATGGAGGAAGTGGCCATGAGTCAAGGAACGCAGACACCTCTTAGAAGCTCATAAAGACAAAGAAATAGATTTTCCTCCAGAGCCTTTGGAAGAAACTAGCTCTGCTGACACATGACCTCAGCCCAGTGAGACTGCTTTTAAAACTTTGGACTTCCAGAACTGTAAGATAATAAATTTGTGTTGTTTTAAGGCACTATATTTGTGGTAACTTGTTACAGCTAAAATGGGAAAGTAATACAGCTATCAATGTTACCCCAAGGATCAGGCAATTATGTTTTAGGTATGCTGCAGTTTTAACCAAAAAAGAGAGTATTTTATGGATTAGAAATACTGATATCCTGATGCCCTCTTGTTCTTCCTTCTCCCCTACTTAAATCTACCCAAATGCCCCCATCCAGAAGAGACTCCCTTTGATTTGGTGACCCCTGGAGCTATCCTATTCTTTCGCCTCCTCCAGCCCTGGATGAGGAGATCTGGAATAGAAATTAGGTAAGGGAAAACTGAGATGCAAAGCAATTCATGTGGCACAATCTCAGAAAGTTCAAAAATTATAGGCAAGAGTAGCTCTGAAGGTGGGTGCTGGGGTGCTGAAGCAGGAGGATTGGCTGAAAGCCTTATGGCAAGTTTCTTTGCTTCACTCCTCTGCAGCCTGGTAACCACTCTCAACTAGCTCCAGGGGAGCTAGAAGAATGGAGGTTTATTCTCTGAAGACATTGACTTAGAGGGACTCTGGATTCAGAGACTTGGGTGATGCGAAGCAAGTGAGTGCCACCCAGCAACAGAAAGACAGTCAAAGTCTACACACTGACTCTGGGACTCCCTTACCTCACCATGAAACCCAGCAGCCATGCCAGCCTTATGCCTTACCTACCCACTCCTCAAATACATAGGAGAGTGGATGGGCCCTCTTTGGGAAAACTTATGAGCTCAAGAGAAAAAACAATATATATCTACTAAAAAGGGTGGTGGTGGTGGAGGGGGACAGTTTCCAATGGAATCCAGTGGAATGACTAGCTAAAGTAGCTCCAGAGTGAATCTACATATACAAAAATCCTACAGAGCTTCCAGTGAGCTCTACGGTGTCAGACACCTAATTTGGCTAGACTGTCAAGGGGTATTAAATATGTGATTTATCTCCAAATGCGAAGGCAAAGAAAAAGAAAAAAAATGGCTAAAAAAAGTGGTGAGTCAAAGAAAACAGAGATAATTCAAGGATAAGAAAACAAACCAAAAACATATTTCAAAAGTCAAACTATGATTTATGCCTCAGAGAGATAAGAGGAGGTATAATATCACGAAACAGTAATTAGACCTCAGGTGAGGCAGCTATCTTTGGTTGGAGGGGAGTCCTAGGGGAGATCTCAGCTTAGCTTTAGTCTTTAGCAGGCAATGCTCCCCAGAGCTGGGGCAATGAGTGCCCTAATCCCAAAGGCAAGGATCAGGGCAGGGGACAACAGCCTCCACTACAGTCAATATTTTGTACCACTTTAACCAACTTGCTTGGTATAAAATGTTCAGCAGGCAAATGGAGCCCCATCACTGAATCTGTCTTGGGATGGCAACTAGATATTCACTATCTCCCTTTACTGCCCATTCTCCATCCCCCTCACCCAGGCACCTCTGTTGGTCAGGTGGCTTACCTGATGGGGTTATCCAGACTTTCACCCCTGAGGGGTGTAGGCCCTTGGTCACAAGGCCATTCTCAGTCTGTGGCATCTGCACTGGTCCACCCACTGTCAAAAGTAGACAGGACAGTTCCAAGAGGGGCTCTGGTGGATCACTTGGGTGCCAAATATATTCTTCCTGGCTCCACAATGTAGCAGGAGTCCTATTTCCCTCTGAGGATCAAGGGAATGTCACTTTCTTGCTTGCTGTTCTCTTGGCAAAAAAAATGTTATTACTGTGTTACTCAGTGAGAGCAAGTCCCTACCTAGGCTGGCCTGACCTGCGGAACCTTGGGTTATGGTTGATGGGACATTCGAAAATGGCACCAAATTTAATGTGAGTGATGGTAAACTGCCGCCTCTTGATTTTCAGACCCATACACACTACCTACTGGGATTGCACACATAGTGGTCATTGATTCAGGATGTATACTATAGCCTGGTGGATGGTGACTCATCTTTGCAAGGCAGCATCACCAAGGGGCATCCCAGCTGCCTCTTTAAGAGGCTGTGTCATTGATCTATCAGGGTGGCAGCTTTTGGGTAGTGCTGTATTTGATGGAACCAGGAAATTCCATGACCTTATCACCTCTGCTATAACTCTTTCGCTACATATTTGGTCATTTATCTAATGTGATATCATGTGATGTGTTAGTTTGTTAGGGCTATGAGAAAGGATCTGTTCCATGCCTCTCACCTAGGATCTGGTGATTTGCTGGCCATCTTGGAGTTCCTTGGCTTATAGAAGCATCACTTTGATCTCTCCCTTCACTTTCACGTGGTGTTCTTCACATGTGCATTTCTGTATACAAATTTCCCCCTTATTTTACAAGGACTCCAGTATGATTTTATCTTAACTGATTACCATTTTGAGCTTTCACCACATAATTGAACTAAGCCACTGGTGAACCAAGATTGGCCTTATGTTTCCTCTGTTGACTGGTCATAAGTAATAGCTTCTCCTCGAACACATGACTAGCTGTGAGCTGAGGGAGAGGAGGTATCAGTGTACCAGTGGAGGTCGCCCTGGGGCCTGGGCCACTGGTTCATCCAGCTCCTTTGTATTCTCTATCCCTGACTTGTGCTCAAGCCCCGGTGTGTTATTTTCATATTCTGATGGGTTATGCTGGGCCTGCTTATGACTAAATGTGCCTTTTAGAATCTAGGTCATGATGGGCATCTCTGCCCATGAAAATAAGATGGGCTCCATCATATTTTGGTATCTCACCATCAGGAGTTTTACCTCAAGGGCTTGTAGAAGTTGGTTTTTGAATGGCGTATAAAGTCTGATGCAGATGGCATGGCCTTGTTTCAGAACACAAGTGCTAGAAATTGTATTTCTCCTACTGGGGGTTGATGTAAACATCATATGGCACCATTTCCCAGTACAGCTGACTCTGGTACCAAAGGGTCTGCTGGATCATATGGCCCATGTGGCAGGGCATTGCACTGTGGACTTGCTTCAGAGCCCTTTCCTATTCTGGGTCCCACTCAAAGTTGGCAGGTTTCTCTATCTATTGGTAAATGAATCATAGAAGTGTGGACTACCAGGTATTGTGCTTCCTTTTAGTGGTGTGAGGGTCAAGATGCAGTAATTTGCCCTTCACTTTGGAAGGATTGTCCTGGCATGCTTCAAATTACTGTACCCCTAAAACCTTTACCGACTTGTCAGGGAATCTTTGTAGGGTTCTGTAGGACTCCCATCTCTAGGGTGTGAGGTCTCCAATGCACTTGCCAATTCTAACTCCTTTGGTCTGATTAAAATGATATCACTGATGGAGTAAATCAATGTGATGTTCTGCAGAAAGTCCAGATGGTTCAGACTCTGCAGATTATGACAGAGGATGAGAGAATTAACATGGTCCTGGGCCAAAAGTGCATATGTAAGCTGCTATCCTTTCTATATGAAAAGTACTTCTGAGAAAGAATAAATTCATCTGATCAATGTCCATATACCATGTCTCTGAAGCTATGTTAATTTGCTCTAGCAAAAATATCACTTCTGGCACAATAGTTGTAATTGAGACCTCTACTTGGTTGTATCTGACACACACACATAGTGTGTCACACACATTACACCTAGTGCAATGTCATCCTCCCAGGATTTGATTGGTTTCTCTAGGAGCTGGACTGGCGGATCAAATGAAAATAGGCTCGAGATCCCAGCTCTGTGTCTTTTAGGTCTCAAGGGTGGCTCTAATCTCTGCCATTCCCCCCTGAGGTGTTTTTATGATACCTTATCGAGGTTTTTTGAAAGAGAAGTCCTCAGTAGCTCTTTCTCATTACAGTACCTCTTTACAGTAGCTCTTACCCCACAGACTGAAGAACTAATGAAGGGTTCTGGCATCTACCGCATGTGTCCATTCCAATTATCCATTCAGGGACTGGCAAAATGACCACTGGGTAAGCTATGGATTCAGTGGATCCATCATGAGCCTGACCTGAGCCAGGACTCAGCTTATTACTTGGCCCCCACATCTACTCAAACAGAAGTCTGTAACTTATTTCAGATTTCTGGGGATCAATATCAATTCAGACCCTGAATCCTAAAGTCCTCAAAATGTCTGCATATTCCCTTTCCTCCAGCATACAGTTACCCAAATAAATGGCCATTCACCTCTTTAAGGAAGGATTGGGGATTTTTTCAGCATTCCTCCTCCTTGGGAACCATCATCTCTTTCAGCCAATGAATTATGGATCTGAAAAGTGGCTCAGATATTCCTGAATAAAGAGTTCTGAATTTTTTTTTTTAATTAGTTCAGGTGGTCTCAGTCTCCTGATCTTCTATTTATGGTTTCTTTTAATTGTATAAATTGAGAAACACTCTTACTGGCTGCCCACCTATTTGTTCTCTACATAGAGAATAAAAAACAGAAAAAACTAGAGAATTGGTCCAGGAGGCCCAATATCAAACAATAGGAGCTCCAGAAAATGAAAAAAAAAAAAAAAGAAATAATGAAAGGATGCTTTTAAAAGCCTTTCTTAGGACCAAAGGACATGATTTCCTGATTGAGAAGGTCCACCCCAGGGCCCCCTACACAATGAATGGGCAAGGTTCATATCTGGACATATTTTTTAAAAAGATTCTATTTATTTATTCATGATAGAGAGAGAGAGAGAGAGAGAGAGAGAGAGAGGCAGAGACACAGGCAGAGGGAGAAACAGGCTCCACGCCACGAGTCCCACATGGGACCCGATCCCGGGACCCCAGGATCGTGCCCTGGGCCTAAGGCAGGTGCCAAACTGCTCAGCCACCCAGGGATCCCCTCTGGACATATTATTAAACTTCTGGGGCACCTGGGTGGCTCAGTGGTTGAACATCTGCCTTTGGCTCAGGTGGTGATCCTGGGATCTTGGGATGGAGTCCCACGTCGGGCTCCCTGCAGGGAGCCTGCTTCTCCCTCTGCCTGTGTCTCTGCCTCTCTTTGTGTGTCTCTCATGAATAAATAAATAAGATCTTTAAAAATAAGGAAAAGAAAAAAAAAAAGAAACTTCTAACACCAGATTTAAAAAAGACTCCAAAAGTTTT